TTACGTTTAAGCAGACCCTATTTTGACGCCATAGTATAGCCCTAAATCACAACAGAAGTCATCTCAGAGGACTTAACATAACCATTGAAATCAAGAATATAGAACACATGTTGAAAAATTTCCATACATGTTGTAGAATGTTAAAGTGTCCTGGATCATCACCACAGTCCTTCTAGTTGGACACTAACTGCCCAACAGACCCTCCTGCATCGGCAAGGAAAAACTCCCTAAGAAAACCCAGTGGAAAAAAGTGAGAAATCCGCTCCCATGGACGGACGGGCTATAGATCCAGGACCTAAGCTACAGAACGTGGACCAGCGGCCGATGAACGTGGAAAGGTCCGGTGCAGGACTGAAGCACTCCCAGGCGGGTCGGGCAGGGCAGTCCGCAGGTGTAGATGGAGGAGGTCCCGTCATCGTACCATGGAACAGACAATGGGACAACGGGTGAATAGCAATGAACAAACTACAGTCAAAATCCTAATAATGCTAAACAGATAAAGTAGGAAGGAGGAGAGGATAGTGCTCAAGTTACCATACTTCTCCCAGCAAACTGACTCCATATGCAGCTTGACTGACACTCTGAGGAGTTTAGCCTTCCCTGAGACTTACCTTCCAACTTTTATCATTATTTGTTTAAGATTCTATCAGGAAAAATATTTGCAAAAAACCAAACGCACTGAAGATTATTTACTTCCTAACAAATGAGAATAGCCATTTACCCATTCTTAAAATATTTTATTATGAGTAAGTGGAGACACTGTAGTGACAAAAGGTTTGATGTGCTCATTAGAAAATAGAACAAATATTCATGCTAAAAAATAGCAAAAATAATTGAGAGTGAGGAACTTTGAGCGGCTGTTCCAAAACAAAGAAACTGCATTACTGCAGACATGTTTTGAAGTGATGAGCTGTAGAAGAGGTTTGTAGGCAGTATTAAAGTTCATGAGGCCTGCTAAGATGGCGCCTCGTACGGTCGACATGGCTCTTTGCTGCTCTCTTTTTCTTTTGTTTTTACTTTTTAACTGTGCATCTGGCTGTTCCTACACCCGTGAGGAACTTATGAACATCCGACCCACCGTTCCCATGGACCTATTGCCTGTTTTCTTGGCATCTGCGGCTGATTTAGTTCATGTTCTAGCCAAAAAAGTGTGGGCCCGTAAAAGGGGAAAGCGAGGAGGCCTGCTCGTGCGTCTTAGGAGGAGAGGAGCGCGCACGGCTCTCCCCGGCATTTTTCTCTCCAACGTACGCTCACTGGGCAATAAGATGGACGAACTCACTCAGCCTGCTCATGAGAAGAAACAAGGACTTCGCCACATCCTGTGTCCTCTGCTTCACTGAGACCTGGCTAAATGAGCGGATCCCGGACTGCGCTCTGGAGCTGCAGGGCTTTGGGCTGTTTCGCGCGGATCGCCATTGTGCGCTCTCAGGGAAGAGCAGAGGCGGAGGGCTCTGTTTCTACGTCAATACAAACTGGTGTAACGATGTGACAGTGATCTCCAAGCACTGCTCTCCTGCTCTGGAATATCTTTTCATTCATTGTAAACCATATTACTCCCCGCGGGAAATTGTTTCATTCATTCTTGCCTCTGTTTACATACCGCCATGCGCGGACGCGCGCGAGGCTCAGCGCGCACTCGCAGAGCAAGTACTGTGTATGGAACGCTTATACCCGGACTCTCTGATTATTATCCTGGGGGATTTTAATAAGGGAAACTTGAGCCAGGAATTACCCAAATACAGACAGTTTATCAAATGCCCGACCAGAGAGGAGAACACTCTGGATCACTGTTACACCACCGTGCGCGGAGCTTTTCGCGCTGTTCCCAAGCCAGCCCTCGGCTTCTCAGATCACTCCATGATACATCTGGTTCCTGCTTACAGACAGAGACTAAAGCTCTCGAAACCTGCAGTGAGGAGCTCCAAAGTGTGGTCTGATGAAGCTGTGGAAGAGCTGCGCGCATGCATGGAATCTACAGACTGGGACCTTTTCAGAGCTGCCACAGACAGCTTGGATGAATATACGGACACTGTGACGTCATACATCCACTTCTGTGAGGATAGCATCATTCCAACAAGGACCAGGGTCATCTATAACAACGACAAACCCTGGTTCACTGCTAAACTCCGGCAGCTCAGGAAAGCAAAGGACTCTGCTTTCAGGGAGGGGGACCGCAGCGGCTACAAAGCAGCTAAATATCAGTTCAGGAAAGAACTGAAAGCAGCCAAGTCCCGGCACAGAGAACGACTACAGGAGCAGTTTGGTAACAACGATACTGCTTCTGTCTGGAGGGGCCTACGGGAGATCACCAACTACAAACCCAAAGCCCCCCCCTGTGCTGATGACCACAAGCTAGCTGACGATCTGAACTTATTTTTCAGTCGCTTTGATGCTGCCCCTGACACCTCTCCCTCCCCCACCCCCCACTACTCTAACGACCCACCCATCAGCCCTGCCCCCAGCCTAACAATAGCCGCTAAAGAGATTAAACAACTCTTCCTGAGGCTGCACCCCCGCAAAGCTCCTGGCCCGGACCACGTGTCTCCGGCCACTCTGAGACACTGCGCCAGTGAGCTTACTCCTGTGTTCACGGACATTTTCAACTCCTCTCTGCAGTCCTGCCATGTCCCGGCCTGCTTCAAATCCTCCATCATTGTCCCCGTCCCGAAGAAGCCCAGGATCACAGGACTCAATGACTACAGACCTGTAGCACTTACGTCTGTCGTCATGAAGTCATTTGAACGCCTGGTTCTCTCCCATCTCAAGTCCCTCACCTCCCCCCTCCTGGACCCCCTGCAGTTCGCCTACAGAGCCAACAGATCTGTAGACGACGCCATTAACCTGGCCCTCCACCACATCCTACAGCACCTGGACTCCCCGGGGACCTACGCCAGGGTCCTGTTCGTGGACTTCAGCTCTGCCTTCAACACAATCCTGCCATCCCTGCTCCAGGACAAGCTCTCCCAGCTCAACGTGCCCGATTCCACCTGCAGGTGGATCACTGACTTCCTGACGGACAGGAAGCAGCGAGTGCGTCTGGGGAAGAATGTCTCGGACTCTCGGATTATAAATACAGGAGCCCCACAGGGCTGTGTTCTTTCTCCCCTGCTCTTCTCCCTGTACACCAACCACTGCACCTCCAGCCACGACTCCGTGAAGCTGATCAAGTTCGCGGACGACACCACCCTCATTGGACTCATCTCCAACAACGATGAGTCCGCCTACAGGAGGGAGGTGGACCGGCTGGTGTCCTGGTGCAGTGGTAACAACCTGGAGCTGAACGCCCAGAAGACAGTGGAGATGATTGTGGACTTCAGGAAGAGCACTGTCCCCCCGCCCCCACTCTCCGTGATGGACTCCCCCATCACCTCTGTGGAGTCCTTCCGTTTCCTGGGCACCACCATCACCCAGGACCTCAAGTGGGAGCCGACCATCAGCTCCCTCATCAAGAAGGCCCAGCAGAGGATGTACTTCCTGCGGCAGCTCAGGAAAGCCAAGCTGCCTGCACAGATGTTGGTGCAGTTCTACACGGCCATCATCGAGTCCATCCTCACCTCCTCCATCACCGTGTGGTTCGCTGGAGCCACAGTCAGGGACAAACAGAGACTACAGCGCATTGTGCGCTCTGCAGAGGAAGTGATCGGCCGCAGCCTTCCATCGTTGCAGGACCTGTACGTCGCCCGAGCTCGAGGCCGGGCTGGTCGTATCACAGCCGACCCCTCTCACCCTGCACATGGACTATTCCAACCACTCCCCTCAGGCAGGAGGCTGCGGTCCATCAGGACTAGAACCTCCCGCCACAAGAACAGTTTCTTCCCCTCTGCTGTTGGACTCTTGAACACTTCTTAACCTGTCCCCCCGCCCTTTATAAAGTCACTTTACTGCCCATCATACGTCACTTTACTTCACTGTACTGCTGTCACCTTACATTGTGTGCACCATGTGCACTTGTATATTGTAAATAGTAACTGTAACTCTATTTTAAATTTAAATTTATTCTTTAGAAGTGTTTTTTATTCTTATTTTTATTATCTCTTTTTGACTGTTGCACTGAGCCAAAGCAATTTCCAAGTCTGTGACCTCCCGTTACTTACGTTGGCAATAAAAATGATTCTGATTCTGATTCTGATAATGATGAGTGCAGCAATACAGGTCAAATACACTGAACAAATTACGTTTGTTTTTGCAGGTTTTTTGTAGGTACAATCTACAACATAGAACCTTAGAACACCTTTAGCAGATATTGTTTTAGACCTGTCCAAATCTAATTCAGTGAGCTCTAGGGTTTGAATCTCAGTCGGAAGGCAGCCTCTGTTGAACCGCTCTGATTTCCCCTACCACTAAAAACATCTAAAATCGGTAACATCCTCCAGCTAGGGTAGACCTGACCAAGCCAAGAGACAACAACTGGAGATGGACCCGGGTGCTGAATGTAGAGGACAAATCTCCCAACAGGCCCAAGTGTGCTGTATCAAAATGCTGATTAGAATACATGAATACTGCTCAGGAACCTTTGTTTGCTCATAAGAAAAGGCCACTCCAGCATGCTTTTCACACAGTGCAGCACATTTGCTTGAATCAGGTTGATTGTGGCCTGTGAGTGTGGGTCCACTCCTCTTCAATGACTGATTCTTCCAATATATAGCAACTTCTCATTAAATAATGGTGTATCAAAACAACATTGAGATGTATAGTTACAGGAGGTAAGCAAAAAGACAAAGAAAAAACAAGCTGTCCCACCACGGCGTATAGAACAACAAACATACAGTCAATTCAACATAAAATACAAACCGATCCGGTCAGGTGGTCCAAAAATATAAAATAATTAATGTAAACGTGCAGATTTCAATATATTTTCCGACTGTTCCTAGGTGTATACTTTCTTTATTTGGTGTAAATCTTCTTCTCAATCTAGAAAATCATAAGAACATGTTGTATGCACTTTACTTTATACAAGAACCAGTGCACTGACCGGATGCCCGATTTGTGCCTCTCGCGTCTTACGCCTCACTGCGGATGACATGGAAGAGCGTGACGTTGTAGAGCACCTGGTGTCCGTTGTTCCAGGCAAATAGTGCCCTCTCGCGGGGGTTGTAGTCCATCATGCTAATGTGGGAGTAGTGGTTGTGGAAGGGGATATCCGTGTACTCGTAGCTGGAGGTGTTGGTGTGGTAGGCAAAGTGCACCTTGGCTCCGGCCAGGTGGGAGTTGGTGACGTACAGGGTTCCACAGATCATGAAGGCCTCGCCCGCACTGCGCTTGGGGAAGCCTGTGTCCCAGCTGCGCATCACCTCCAAGGAGTGCGGGTTCAGGCGGCTCACCTGCAACAACAATCACGAAAGGCTTTCAATGCCACAAACATCCTTCTACAACAGGGCTAACGATCATGGAGGGCCCAATTTTTTGAGCCATAGTTTTTTGGGAATTTCTGGTTTACTTACTGATGCTGTTTCTCATTTTCTGTTTACGTTCTGACACTGCTTAGAGACGTTCTTTTCTTACATGAAATATGTCTCTGAAATGGCAGCATTCTGCAACATCTCTTATGGAAGTTGGGCTTTCCACGATTCCCCATCCAACTACAATAATTACGTGGGATGACATCATCCCACAACAAAAATATGTTTGTATTTGGTTGACTCCATGGCTGTGGATGGAAATGCTATCAGGCATCTGTACCTTCATTGCAAAAAAGTGAGTACACAATACACAAACACGGCCCTTTCATTTATATGGTGGCAGATGTTCAACCAAGTCAAAGTCTTAACAATTTTGTCCACAAACCATGGGTAACCATGGTAACCACGAAGGGACATGTTGAAACTGTTGCATAGCCGGACCTGGACATTGGTTTGAGTGTTTATTTCGAGTTCAACAACAAACATTAATTATCAGATGTCACTAGATAGAATTTTCTAGCAAATCATTCATTCAGTTATTTACAACAATATTGTACATTATTCAAACTCAAAGAGAGGAGAGGAAGAAAAATCTTACACCCCACTCCTGTGAATATCATTATTTACTTTTGTGTTGCCATGTATCCATCGTCCTGGATGCTTGTTATAACCTTGTTTTGATATATACATGAAAAAAGTCCTCAAATAGACAGGATTTTGTGCTGGTCAAGATTGTGTGTGAGCTGCATCTGTGTGAAGATTATTACTATGTGTACTTTAACTATTGGTATGACGTTTGATTCACCTGCGCTATATAAATAAAGATTACTTATTTTTCACTTTGTTTTGTTATATATTTTACTGTCTACAACTGCTGCTGAAGGCATTTAATAACCAAGTGAATAACAACATAAGAAAATCGGTTTCGGTCTGCGTCGCTTTGTTTACGGCAATGTCCGTCTTTGCTGATGTGTAGTTGTGATCGACTGTTGAGAAAATGCAGCATCTTTGCACTTTGGATCATTGTCAATCTGGTCCAACCATGGATTTATAATATTAACTGGATAGGGTACAACTAGCTTATTGCTGTCCCATCCATGGGCACAGGGGGCACCTGTGGTACTGCAGACTAAATTCACGTGGGCTACCCAGAAAGAAGTCCCATAGAACCAGTGGGGGCTGGTCCTGGCTCAAAAGTGGCCAAAATGACGGGCGCTGACATCAGAATCAGAATCATTTTTATTGCCACGTAAGTAACAAACAAAGTTACCACTTGGAAATTGTTTTGGAAGAGAGCGTGCCACTTCGCCATTAAGGCGCTGTGTACAAGTAAGAAACAGCAGAGAGCAATAACATACAGTTTCACAGACAATTGGATAGACACATTGTGCTTTGTATAAACCACGGATTTTTTTCTCGGGATGAGCACCTCCGACTGCCGGCCCAATGTGGCTGTCAGAGGGGGGAAGGGTCAGGGAGGGGGTGAGCCGGAAAGACAATGAGGAGTGGAGGGGAGGGAAGGAGAAGATGGATAGGTAGAGGGAGGCGGGGGGAGCGGGATCCGAGCTGGAGACTGCAGAGTGTGAGGATTGTTGTAGATTGGGGTCCATGTTATCTTTGGCCTCGGACATGCTTGCAATACCACACCGAGCCAGGGGACCGGACCCGGAAAGGGAATTATTCAATGCGAATGTACGTGTCTTCTGACCTCTCAAAAACGTCTTTACCAGCTAGTCCAAAAGTTGGATCTTGGGGGCGACAGTGGCTCAGTTGGTAGAGCATTGGCCTTTAGGCCTGAAGGTCGTGGGTTCGAGCCCATCGTAAGACCTACTTCACGACTCCCTCTGATGTTTGCTGTCGTTGTGTCCTTGGGCAAGACACTTAACCCCACTTTGCCTGAAGCCCCCGCTGAAAGATCTCAGCTCCTGTGGACTCACCACCTGCAGGAGGATCAGTGAGGGGCTGGTGCTCTGTGTACTGGGTGCAGCTCTGACTGCCACCCCCCCGACCCAGAAATGGATAAAGGGAAAGAAAATGGATGGATGGATCTTCGGTTTTCTTTAAATCCACACTTTACTGCCACAAACTCTGCTTGTTTCCTTCCCGCTCTGGCTTCGCTCTTACTCTGCTCTGATCAGCAGCACTGATTGGTCAAAGCGCGGCCAAGCCCCTCTGTGCACGTGCATGAGAGCCATACACGCGTATTTGGCGCAACGCATCATGGGAGATAATCCACTGCGCAGAACCGGGAGGACCCAAATATAGAAGAGTTACGCTAATCTTTTAGTCCTCCTGTAAGTCCCATGCCCTACTGAGCACAAGCCATTAAATTGAATAGGGCGCCATCTTGGATCACTGGGGCTTGGCAGAGACTAACTATGAGAATTGGAGCCTCGTAGTTAGCAGTTAGCATACAATGCATCAGGAGGAGCACATCCACACCCGCTTCTTGTTGCTACTGGTATCACAACCAAAGTTCCGGGAAATGATTTTCCTCAGTAGACTTTTTTTGTCAACAAAGTGATACGAGCAAACATGGATGTAATTTTATTGTAATTTTTAAGGCAACTTCTTAAACTTTAAAGCTTCTAGCCACAGCCTGGACTTGCAGTTAGTGTATGAGAAGCTAAAGGCTATCTTTTCAGCCATACAGCTAAGTTTTTCCATGATTTAGTACAACCAAGGTTTGCACAGAATGTCCCAGAACCGGTTTTTGCTCCATCCATTTTAAATTCAGAGAACATGGAATGATCCTCTCGGTCTGATCTGGAGTTGTGTAAGCTGCGCTAAGAGCTAACCGGAAGTCAAGAACAGCACAGAAGTTCAATGGCTGCGCCTGTGGTTTCCCCCAAAACAAAAAACACCTTTTAAGATAAGGAGGTAACTTTATCCAGATATTTAGTTTAGACTTAAGTTTAGAATCTTTTTGCAAAGATTTAGCGTGTGTGGGTACACACCAGGATGTTTCCAGCATTGGGGATAGAGGTATAGACGGCCCACAGTCCCATCTCGTCCGCCATTAGGTCGATGTCCGAGGAGCCGCCCCAGCTGTAGGGGAACGTGTTGTTGTAACCGGCCCCACTAAGGGTGCGCTGAAGGAGCACGCTGCGGGAGCGGAAGTGGTACTGCACCTTCACACACATGGATGCACACACACAAACACACATATACAGTTTTTAAGTACAGAGTAATCGAGTAGTATGAGGCTTTTCATAGATCAGTCACAAAGATCATAGTGGCTTGAGCCAGCATGTATATTTAGACAACAGTGGTCTGAGTCTGCATGTATAGGAGGGTCTTGGAGTAACGTCGTTGTTTATAGTTTTTCCGCGCCGGTCACGTGACTGTGTGGCACTACAGCATAGAAAGCTACCTGGATGCTAGAGAATTAGCTATTTTTAGACGTTTGCAGAGATGTTTTACTAAATCAAATGGTCCGTTCTTGTTGTGTGGTCGGTTGTGTTGCTGCGGACAGATTACGTTTTTTTTTCAAATTCTTTCGGAAAAGAACAGCGAAAAACGGCCGCGGTAAAGTGGTTGCCCTTTTATGCTGTTACCTACGGTAAACGTAGAACGGGTAGCCGGGGGGATGAGGAGATAAAAATTCATAAACAAATTAAAGTTTTGCAACTACTCTCACTGTGCACTTGTTCACTCATTCATTCATTCATGAATGATGATTGATTTTAAACATTGCATGTTGGTCGCTCATCCAACGGCTTCCTGTTCCACCATCACCGTAAGTAACAGCAAAAAGGGGCAACCCGCTTTTAATGTGCTTTACCGTGACGGCGAAATGCCGGGCCACTTTACCGCTGTTTTACCACAAACCCTTCTTGAGTGAAGGGTCCCGGGTTTTCTATGAAGTAAGAATAAATATCTCAGAGTCCCAGTCCCAGCAGATCGGTGCCAAAAGAGAAGTGAGTCTGAGCTATGTTTCTTCTTGTCATCCCAGGTCTCATATGGGCTTTGAATTTGTTCAGTTCGGTCTCATATACTTATTTTTTAGCTTATATCTCCTCTGATCTTCTTGCATTAAAGTGCTTATATACATTGCTATTCGCCCACTGAGTCTTTTAAAAGTAGTCGTCACATCCATGTTCAGTATGCGCCGCTCTGTCTTCTTGCCACACAGCGAGGGGCACATGCGCACGCGGGTGTAAACAAAGATCCTCCTATACTGAGAGAGGACAAGGAGTGATCTGAGCCTGCATGTAAACTGAGAGAAGAGTGATCTGAGTCTGCATACTGTGTACTGTATATTGAGACAAGAGTGGTATGAGTATGCATGAATACTGAAAGAAGAGTGATCTAAGTCTGAATGCACACTGAGACAAGAGTGGTCTTAGCCTGCATGTACACCGAGAGAGGACGAGGAGTGATCTGAGCCTGCTTGTATACTGAGGGAGAAGTCTGATTCTGCATGTACAGTATACTGCGAGAGGAGTGATCCGAGCCTGCATGTATACTGAGACAAGAGTGGTCTGAGTCTGCATGTACTGTATACTGAGAGAAGAGGGGTCTGAGCATGCAAGTACAGTACAGACCAAAAGTTTGGACATACCTTCTAATTCGAGTTTTCTTTATTTTCATAACTATGAAAATTGTAGATTCACACGGAAGGCATCAAAACTATTGGAATTACTCAATGTTGAATTATAGTGGGCATGTATAAAAAGAGTATGAAACACTGTAAATACGTCTTATATTCCAGTAGCCACCTTTTGCTTTGATTACTGCTTTGCACACTCTTGGCATTCTCTTGATCTTGAGCTTCAAGAGGTAGTGACCTGAAATGGTCGTCCAAACCGCCTTTAAAGAAGTTCCCAGAGATGCTTAGCACTTGTTGGCCCTTTTGCCTTTTGGCCCAGCACCCATCACTCTCCTTCTTGGTCAAATAGCCCTCACACAGCCTGGGTGTGAATCTACAATGTCAATAGTCATGAAAAGAAAGGAAACTCATTGAATGAGAAGGTGTGTCCAAACTTTTGGTTTGTACTGTATACTGCGAGTGGTATATATACTGAGACCAGGTACCAGGATGTTGCTCTGGTGCTTGTTGTAGTAGAGCGATCCGTTGTAGACTACGTGTCCAGTCCCGGCCCAGGGCTGTGGGAGCAGGTGTTGCACAAAGTTCAAACCCTTTGTGAAGTCTGCCATGGTCCGGAACTCCAGGACACGTCTGCCTTTGTAGTATCCATCCATGGACCAAACCTGAACCATCACACAGCTACAGTTACAATGTGCACAAAAAGAAAATCACACAATTACAGTTAAAAATAAGTCAAAATGGAATTCAGAGAACATGATGCAACAGTCTGACATTGAACAGCCTCATGTGGAGGAGGTGTGCAAAAAGATCACAATATTTATATATACTGTACGATGGAATCTAATTGTAAACACCCAAATAAACCAAAATGTGGCTCAAATTTAATTATAACATTATTCTGTGAGTAAAAGTCTGAGGCTTTGATGAATTGTTTGGCTTTATCCAAAATACATTTCTTCAGCTCTTAGAGTGACCCACATTGGGGCCAGTCTACTGATAATTTGATTCTAATGAGCTGAGGAGAAAAAAGAGGGAGGGAAAAATAGGGCAAAGGAAAGAACAAGCAGGAAACTGTGGAAAAAAGATGAATAGAGGCTGCAGGCGAGCAGACAGCCTGCTGTGAGCCCTTAACACCTATTTACTATGACCATGTTTAGCCGCACAAGTATGTGTCACCTGTAAAGTGCCTTGCAAAAGTATTCACCCCCTGGCTTTTTACCTATTTTGTTACATTACAGCCTTTAGTTCAATGTTTTTTTAATCTGAATTTCATGTGATGGATCAGAAAACAATAGTCTAAATTGTCTAAATATATACATAAAACCATTTTTCGGAAATAAAAAAACTGGAAATTGGCATGTGCATATGTATTCACCCCTTTTGTTATGAAGCCCATAAAAAGCTCTGGTGCAACCAATTACCTTCAGAAGTCACATAATTAGTGAAATGATGTCCACTTGTGAGCAATTTAAGTGTCACATGATCTGTCAGTACATATACACACCTTTTTTGAAAGGCCTCAGAGGCTGCAACACCTAAGCAAGAGGCACACTAACCAAACACTGCCATGAAGACCAAGGAACTCTCCAAACAAGTAAGTGACAGTGTTGTTGAGAAGTGCAAGTCAGGGTTAGGTTATAAAAAAATATCCAAATCTTTGATGATCCCCAGGAGCACCATCAAATAGAAAGAACATGGCACAACAGCAAACCTGCCAAGAGACGGCCGCCCACCAAAACTCACGGACCACATCACATCACCCACCATCCCCACAGTGAAACATGGTGGTGGCAGCATCATGCTGTGGGCATGGTTTTCAGCAGCCGGGACTGGGAAAATGGTCAGAGTTGAGGGAAAGATGGATGGTGCTAAATACAGGGATATTCCTGAGCAAAACCTGTACCACTCTGTGCGTGATTTGAGGCTAGGACGGAGGTTTACCTTCCAGCAGGACAATGACCCCAAACACACTGCTAAAGCAACACTTCAGTGGTTTAAGGGGAAACATGTAAATATTTTGGAATGGCCTAGTCAAAGCCCAGACCTTGATCCAATAGAAAATCTGTGGTCAGACTTAAAGAAGGAGCTGGAGCAGTTTTGCAAGGAGGAATGGGCAAACATCCCAGTGGTAAGATGTGGCAAGCTCATAGAGACTTATCCAAAGCGACTTGGAGCTGTGATTGCCGTAAAAGGTGGCTCTACAAAGTATTGACTTTAGGGGGGTGAATAGTTATGCACATTGACCTTTTCTGTTATTTTGTCCTATTTGTTGTTTGCTTCACAATAATAAAAGACAACATCTTCAAAGTTGTGGGCATGTTCTGTAAATTAACTGATGCAAATCATCAAACAATCCATGTTAATTCTAGGTTGTGAGGCAACAAAACACACAAAATGCCAAGGAGGGGAATACTTTTGCAAAGCACTGTATTTATGTTTAACTTGTAATGGCTTTTTAAAATAATTTACATCTCCATAAATTAACGTTATGATCTTTGGACACGCTGATGTAATTCTAATGTATGTATTGCTGCTTTGTATACTTTAGTTACATTAATAGAGAACATTTGGAGAAGAAAAAATAGGAGCTCAAAGGGGGCAGATGTGTTTGTGCCAATCAGCTCTCAACCCAGAGACTCCTTCAAAGTCTCTTTCTGTTGGACAAAACTTTGCGATGGCTGTTGGTCACTCAAACAAGAGTTAAAACTTCAAGATCGAATGTTTGTCCTTGAAGCAAAAATGGGGCTCAACACAACAAAACCAATGAAGGGAAATGGACAAAATGGACAAAACGTAAGTCATGATGATGCTATTTCATTTCCCTAAATCCACGGGGACAATTTCCTGAAGACATATGGTGCCAAGCCCAAACAAGGCAAAGTTAATGATTACAGCAGGATATAAGATAAGATAAGATTTACTTTATTGATCTCAGAAAGGAGAAATTTACATGTCACATCTGGCATGGATAGAAACACTCAAGATTGTGCAAAAAGAAAGAAATGTGCAAACATGTTAAATGCAGGATATTATGTGCAATAAAAAAGTGTCGATTTAAAAAGTGGCAATCAGATACAGTGTAAATAGTAGTGCAGGTTTTTCAGTCTTAATACAGTGACTTAAAGTGACTTGTTGTACAGTCTGACAGCAGTGGGGATAAAGACCCTGCGATAGCACTCCTTCTTACACTGAGGGTGTCTCAGTCTTCCACTGAAGGAACTCCTCAGCTCCTCTACAGTCCTGTGCAGTGGGTGGAAGGTGTTGTCCATGATGGAGGTGGCTTTAACTGGCACCCTCCTGTCCCTCACCTCCTCCACAGAGTCCCGGGGGCAGCCCAGAGTGGAGCTGGCCCTCCTGACCAGCTTGTTCAGTCTGCTTCTGTCCCGCTCTGTGCTGCCTGGAGTCCAGCACACGGCAGCGTAGTAAATGGCAGAGGCTACCACAGAGTCATAAAAAGTCCTGAGTAGAGGCTTGCTCACTCCAAAAGACCTCAGCCTCCTCAGAAGGAAGAGGCGACTTTGGCCCTTCTTGTACATGGCGTTGGTGTTATGGGACCAGTTTATTGTTTATGTGAACACCCAGGTACTTGAAGCTGTCCACCAGCTCAATGTCCTCCCCCTGGATGTTCAGCGGCGTGTGGGAAAGTGGTTTTCTCCTGAAGTCGATGGCCATCTCCTTGGTCTTACTGGTGTTCAAGCAGACAGAGTGGTTGCGCTCGCACCAGTCAACAAAGTCTGTGATAACCGACCGATATTCCAGTTCGTTCCCCTCAAACACACAGCCCACGATGGCGGAGTTGTCGGAGAACAGGAGTGTAATGATGCCACAGCGAAAACCTTTAAATACAAGAAATCGCTCTTCACCACTATTGGAAGTTGAAACAGCGGCCACGTCTCAGTCTCATTCAAGGTCAAATGCTGCTGAAACACTCCTTATCAGTGATGGCGCCATCAGGAATGTAAACATACGTGGTTTGAAAACATTTTCGGTCTCTGCACTCTGCAAAAGTGGATGAGATAAGAGCACTGAGTCAAAAGCAGTGTTGCCAACTCCTCAGTAAGGAAAGTAGCTATTGGCTGTCCCAAAAGTCGCTAGAAGTCGCTAAATGACGTCATCGCCTAATTTGCATAATTTGCCATTTGCAAATAACTGTAACGGACGCTGTAGGAGAGAGGAATAAGGTCGTGGGAGAGACAAAAGTGAGTAAAAACACCCTAAATATGTTTAGAACTACAAATGTACAAAAATAATTTCAACATTAACAACATTTAATGATGATGAACAACACACATCAGTTTTGTCCTGTATTGTTAAATGTTATAACAGCAAATGTAATCAAAAGATTGTTATGTAGGGTGAAATTGCTAGCTCTACAACCAACCCTCCTCCTTTATCCGGGCTTGGGACCGGCAAAGTGACCCAAAAGACACACTCTGGCAGAGTTACTTAGGTTTATTTTTTTTTTTCATAGTTTGGCATAACAAATGATTTAATGTGACCCACTACTGAGAGAAAACAGAGTCACGGACAGAGCTGCCGCGGATGGAGTGGGGGGTAGTGGGGGGTGGCGGTGGTAGGAGTGGCCGGGGAGCTTTGGATGTGTGGTGGTGGTGGAGCTGAAGTTCAGTCTGCAGCAGCCTGAAAACTTCCTGTGCTTTTGAGTCTCCTCTCTCTCTCTCTGCTCCGCCCATAGACTGTAGCTGGGACTGCTACGCAAGGCTACTGTGAGACTGGCCGCCTGTAGTGCTTTGGGACGGGGGAGGGGCTCACGTTGAGGACAGCAGAACAATACGTGCTTCACGAGTCTCCAAAACACCAGATAAGTCGCCAAAACACCAGATAAGTCGCCAATAACACCAGAAAAAGTCGCTAGATTTGTCGCTAGTCGCTTTTTTGAAAAAAAGTCGCTATAGGGGTCTGAAAAGTCGCTAAATCTAGCGACAAAGTCGCTAAGTTGGCAACACTGGTCAAAAGCTCCTATCAGAGAAAACATGAACTTCCGGTTTGGCCATGTGATGGGTTAGTCGCATTTTTCAGCGCTCCCCGAACTTACTACTTCTACTGATTTTTAACTCATTTTTCACTTACAGCGAGTAACCCAGCAATAACTTGCTTTTATTTAGAGCAGAATCATGCCTCCGAAAGCGAAGAAAGATGAACAAGACCGCGAAGAAGCAGCTAATGTCACCGCATTTACAGCCGTGCTAACAGCTAAGCTAGCGGAAACTAAAAGTGAACTTCTGGCTGAGATTAAAGACACCTACGCGAGATATGAGGCAAAGCTTACTGGCCTCCAGAACTCCGTTGAAGACCATGACCAACGTATCACTAGTCTGGAGCAATTTGCTAACTCCACCAGTGACGAGTTAACTGATGTGCGGACTGAGCTAGCGGCGGTGGCCTCAGAAAATGCTAAGCTAAAGGCTAGGCTGATCGATCTTTCTGGACGAACCCGCCGTAATAATATAAGAATTGTGGGTCTGCCGGAACAAATTGAAAATCAGACGAGACCAACAGAGTTCTTTTCCCAGCTACTGTGTGATGTGCTTGGTGCGGACATTTTGTCATCACCCCCGAAGCTGGACAGGGCCCACCGCGCACAGCCTGCTAGGCTAGCATCCACGGGTAGGCCTCGGCATGTTGTGATCTGTTT